TTATTTACAAATTCAGACAGTGGCCAGAATTGGCCTGTGGGTTGTAGTTGCCTGCCCATAGTCTAGACACAAGGGTGGCTTCTCAAGATCTTCCATTTCCAAATGTCCTTTATGAGACCTCTTTAGGGTCATATATTTTTTCATTGTTATCCCCATAAAATCCAGTGTCACAATATTGTAGCTTTGGCCTCCTGACATTTGCTTCATGTGTTTAAAGTTTTGGTTTCTTTTAGTCTGAGGAAGCATCTCCATGCTCAAACATCCTCTGACTTGTCCAGGTTTTGAATCTTGTTGATGTAGTTTTGTTTTTGTTTTTTTTTTTGAGACAGAATCTTCCTATGTAGTCCAGGCTGAACTTGAACTCATTATGTAGCCCAGGCTGGCCCTGAAGTTGAGGCAATCCTCTTGCCTTGGCATTCTGAATGCTGGGATCATAGGCATGCACCACTATCTCTGGCTCAGTTAGGTAGTTTGAAGACCATAACTTCATCTGTCTTACTTTAGGGGCTGGAATCCACTGTTCCTTTCGACTTTTTCCAAGGACCCCTGGATTCTGATGGGAGGAGAAGGGCATGTGTCCATCTGAGGGAGGAGCAGCTTGCATCTTCTGTCTTCAGAGTTCAGTTGGTCTGAAATACAGGAATCTATTTTCTTAGGGATGTGGCTCAGATATTTCATTTCATGGAACCAGATGCCACAGACTCCTAGTTTTTTCAGGCTGGAATGACGCTAGTGCAATGTAACAGCCTGGAGAGTATTAGCCTGCCACCCCCTCTTTCTGGATTAGTACCAGGCTTGTGAAATTAGAAGTCCAGAAAGAGACAGTCAGACTCCCCTGGGCTACAACCTTTCCTGGCAGCCTTCTAACTTGGTCATTACAGAGTTTTAGGGCCAGAAAGGACTTGTATCTAATGAACTCTCATCCATCTTGTTCCAAGTAGACACTGTGAGGACTCAAAGGCAAGCCTCCTGTACTAGATGTCAAAGACAGAAGGTAGGGGACTTGTGAATACTTCACACCCTTCAGCGGACAGGTTGTGCTGCCGGGGCTCCTGCCCACCCCCTCCTACGACATAAACACATTCAGGACCCCATCCTGATGGAACCAAGAAGGAGGGAACCTCCCCAGTGCAATCAGAGACTGGCCTTGACTTCTTGACTTGGGTTGATAGCTACGCCTCCCTTCTCCAGCTGGCGGGAAGGGAGTGACCTGCGGGAGCCCCACCACCCTTGGGGGAGGAGGAGCCAGTCAGTCAGGGAGCAAAGAGAAAGAAGAAAGGGGAGGAGTCTGGGCAGCTCCCGCCTGCTGCCCTGTTCTGGCAAAGTGGCTGAGCTGGAGCAAGAGAACTGATAACAGATAAAGGGCTGGCTTTCCTGTGGCCTTGTTTATACAAGCTGTAGTTCTTGCCAGCTGGTCCCTGGGGTGGGGGCAGAGGGCAGCATGAGGTTCCTGGGCAGAGGCTTGTTTTCAACCAGCCAAGGCCCTCATGGCTTACAGATCTTCCCCTCTACTCTGCCCCACCCTCAGCCCCAGACTTCCTGTGAGAAGCCGGCTGTGTAGAGGTTGAGCTGAGATGCTATGTTCTCCATACTTGGAGTGGGGGACCTTTCACCCAGGAAGTGGTGGGTGTGGTCACTGTGTCTCTCCCTTGGCATGAGGGTCTTTGGACATCTGGCAAAGGATTTCCAGCCACCACAGTGCCTGGTGATAACATATCTACTGAAGTTAGTTCAAGAATTCCCTGCCCTGTATTCCTCAGCCTCCCTGAGACAAGCTGGGTCTGAACTGTGTAGTGTCTCTGGATCCAGGAACCAGGTCAGGTGCTAGGTGTTGTGCTAGGGAGTAGGACACAGTCCTACTCTCGTGAGATTAAAAGCAATGGAGTGAAATGAATCACAGACCAAGGCAAGATAGACTCTGGAAGCCTTTGGCAGGGGCCTGGACCTTCCTGGTGCGTGGGAAAGACTTTCAGCCAGGAGGATCTGTAAAGAGAGGTTTGAAGAAGGAGCGGGATTGAGCATACAGTCTCCAGAGGAACACAGGGGCTGCTGCAGGGGAAGAGAAAGGGTTGGGAGTGTGGAGGGCAGGGAACAAGGCTCCAGAGGGAGGCACGGGCTAGATCACGAGGCTGAAGGGAGAAGGCAGAAAGGTGGTCTGGAGGGAGGAAAAGAATGGGATCAGTGGCAGACCGGTTGGGTGGGAGGTGGGGATCCCAGGAGACGGCCTTCTACGAGGGGAGTGCGGTCGTCTAGGAGATACTCTTAGATGCTAACTCCTGGGACGGAGGCTTCTCAGCCTCACCTGGTCGCCTTTCTGTGTCAAAGCACAGCATATGCGTGTGGGTTTGAGGCTCCGTCCCATGGGTGCTTCTCGACCTCAGTCCCATCTGTGTCAGGTGTCTGACACCAGCCTGAAGATGTTGTCCTGGGACGTCAGTGTCTCTGGAGCAGGAGGGGTGGGGGACAGGCTGAGGGCTGAGCTACAGCTCATTGGAGCAGGAACTGCTTCTAGGTCACAGCATGTGCCTGCCATCCTCACCTTGCCTTCAAATAGTAGCATTGAGAAAGATCTAGAGCCCAGAGATTTTCGAACCTTTTAGAGCTTTCAATGACAATAAACAGCTCCCTGAGGCACACATGCCATGGGTTTGCCACCATTGATCTAGACCATTTCACTGATGGCTGATTCAACACTTCCATGTGCTTGGCTCATCCTCAAGACCCCCTAGCAGGTCTCCCATTTACCCCTACTTGCTCTTTCCTTCCTTCCATCTTTCCTCCCGTTGCATTAAGCCCCTGTACATAGTAGGTGTCTTCATTGGATCGACTCTGTCTTGGTCCAGGAAATCTGAGATGTGGTATGGGCTCCACTTCAAATTCCCAAACTCACTCGGTGATCTGGGGCAAATCTCTCCATCTCAGTTTCCTCATCTGAAAAACATAACAATAATACCTTCTGCAGGGGCTGCTGGTGGTATTCCTGTAAAGGGCATTGTGCATTGTAAATGGTCCGTGAATATCAGTTGCTACTTTTTATATGCATGAGCTGTTTCAATTGGGAAAAGGAAACTATTAGGAGGAGAACATTTTGGAGAAGTTAATGTAATAATATTAAATCTATCTACCCCACAAGCAACTACACTGTATTTTTATTTTTTATATTCATTTCAAGTATTTATTGTGAGATCATCACTTCTCAGTCTTTTGTACAAAATCAAGTGTAGTATTTACTGAGATTATAATTTTTAAAATCCAGAAATCTAAGGAAATTTAGGCTTTCTTTTCTTCTGATTTACTCCAGTAAACTTGCTATGTATAGATTCAAGAAATGACCGAGGGTGTAGAATCCAGTCCCGAGTCCAAGCTGAAGGTGAGAACCCTGGATTTGTATTCTGTTCCATCCCTTAGGTGTGGATGGTGGGTGTTGGAACCTGTTTCACCTCTTCTTTGATATGAGGATAATGACCCCTTCTGTGGCATACAAGCATTAGTGCTAATGTGAACAAAAAGACCAGCACATAATAAATACAGGACTAGTAAATGCTGGTTCCCGGGCCCTCCCTCTGATTTAGTGTAGGGTTCAGAGAACCTGAGGTACACAGAGGTGGGGACCACCAGGCTGGCCCAAGCTCTCCTGCAGCCTTCCTACAAGAAGCCCTTAGGCTACCTGAGCGCACTGGGGACCCCAGTTCTGCTGTAAACACAGCAATCACCCAGCTTCCTGTGAGCTCTGCTGACACCACAGTGAGAAAGGGGTTGTGGGAACTCCCCTGGGGGGAAGAAGGCTGGGAGAGGAGGAGGCAGGCGAAGCCCTTCCCGGAGGGCTCCCAGGAGCTCCATCCTGCCGTGGTCCGGCCCGGTGGGCTAACAACTGTTGAGAGATGGTCTGTGGGGTTCATGGGTAGGGTGAGCTGGGGATTGCAGAGGTCAGACAGAGTTCAGAAAGAGTCAGGCCCGGGTAGAGAGGTGCTGCACTGTGATGATTAAGGGAGAAACTCATTAAGTCCTGCTAGTAGGAGCAACCTGGCTGAGTTACCTAAGTGACTCCCCCTCCACTCCCCAACAAAGAACCTTTCTCCGATACCAGGAGACCATTATGTTAACAATGAATAACTGCTTATGCCTGTGGGACATTTTATGAATCAGGGCATTCTTTTATATCTTCTAATTTCAATCTCACAAAGAAGTAAAAGGGAAGCAATAGTTCTGTTTGATAGATAGGAAAACTGGGGCTTGAAGCAGTTAAGAAATGTGATCAAGTACACATATCTACTGAGCTGGGACAGAAAGCCAGGCCTTCTTGTGCCACGGGTCCAATGACTGAGGAATGAGAAGTTTTCCAGGCAACTAGGGATTTGGTCATTAGGGTTAGAATTTCCTCTATTAAAAGTGGTGGAAATAGAAGTGACCACTGGGCCTTGTTCTTTTTCAGACTCACTGGCTTCTTTTTTGACTTGAGAGCTGAATCTCCGTGTGGAGGGCACTCCTGGGTCCAAGGGCCCTGGGAGAAACAGAGAGGCAGAGCCCTGCAGATGGAGGGATTTGGGGAAGCCTTACAGAAGGATTTTCAGAGCTGCTTGTTAATAGGTGACTAAGTGAGGTTACAAAATCACACTGTCTGGGCATCAGCTGTCACCAACAGGATTAGGGGCCTCTCATCCATTTAGTCTGTATCTAAGAGATCACGCTAACAAACAGTGCGAACGTGGGGCCTTGGGAAGGCCTCTTTACCCTGCTGGGCCTTAGCCGGCTCATCTGTGCAGGGATGACATTTGTTCTCCACTCACCCCCACCGCCATTCCAATGACCCTTATTGACTTTCTGTGTGCGGGCTGGTGGAGCAAACATTTCCCGAATTCCTGGAAACCAGTCCAGCTTTGCCAGAACCAAATGCTGGCGCTGGTGCTGGCTCTGTCCCTGGCCTGCCTGGGTCGCTATTTCCTCATCTGTTAACGTGCAGAGGTTGGCCTTTCTGGGTCCTTCCCACTCATTCTGTGCAGAAGCGAGTTGCCAGGGATGGGCTAAAGAGATGGGGAGGAAATTGAGGCTGAAGGGCTTGTGGGTAAGAGGCTTCCAAGTGGTTGGAGTCAGAGAAGCCAGCAGAGGGAAGGGGCAGAGTAGGAGTTGGGGTCAGTAAAGAGGGATGGAGGCACCTGACTAACCTGGCAGGCTGGCTCATCCTTCTAGGCCATCTCAAAAGAGGTCCCTGAGACCGCAGGACCAGTGTGGGGCCCTCCAAGGAAGAGGCTAGAGCCAGCCATACTCCTTGCAGGCTTGCCTGGCCAAGCTCTTTGCCTTTTGCCTCACCCCACCCCCAGGCAGGCCAGGAAGGGTCAAAGCCCCCAGCTGGGTCTTGCTGTTGGGCCAGCAGTCAAACTAACACTGCAGTGGGGGGGGGGGAGGTTTAAAACTAAGCTCTCCAGGCAAACAGTATCTTTGCTATCTGGTGTTTGGATCCCAGCATGGGGAAAAGGAAGGTGAGGCCACAGCGCCAGTTGTGTCCAGAGGAGCCTGAATCCTGGGCAGGGAGTTAAGAGGGAGGGGACAGGCAGGCCTGCAGATAAGGGCCAAACTGTTCATTTCCCTGTTCAGGGGCCATTGCCTGTCTTTAAGCGCCATGGAGCCAGCTCCAGTCCAGCTCCTGATGAGATCAGGTGCGTTCAAGGTGGTATGGCCGTAGACACTTCAGGAAACCTAGACACCCCTTTGTCCTCTTGTGGCACAGGCCGAGGGTGGAGGGGTCTTGTCTCCTGGTGCATAATGGGAAATCTCCCCTCTGTGACTCAGGGTCTTCATGTTAAAGAGGACAAGGGTCTCTTTGGCTACTTCTCTCCCTCTAGCTTGTGGGGAGATCACCAGGATACATGAGTTCCTGTTTCCCAGAGTTGTGGGTCCGTAGGGAGGCCCATGGAAAATGCCAGCTCCTGTTACGGGTTATAGGATTATCACTCATGAGGTCCTAGCCACCATGCTGATCCCAGGCGGGACGTGGTTAGCCAGGCCCAGACTGAGCAGGGAGCCAGGCAAATTTTCTTTTCTTTTTTGTTTACAATCTCAGAAGCCTGATGCTCTCAGCTCTCAGAGCCAACTGATGCCTCCTGCCCAGTATCCAGGGTACAGGTGAGGGTGTTGGTTTCTGCATCTAGGCCCCTAGGTGTTCTCAGGAAATGAAATGGCACATGACTGTCATCAACGCCACAGGCCCTCAACTGGTGAAAAATGTGACCATGGGGCCATTCATGGTAAGAGTTCAGCATATCTGTGGTGGGATTTTAAGTGGTGGGGCAGCACATGGGAGGGCCCTCCTACAACTGGAGATAAGAGTCTTAGATATAGAGTCCCAAGGCCAATCCAGGGGTGTAACATTTGGAAAGCATAAAAAAACCCAGGACTTGGTTTTTCTGTCAAGCAAGTACCACAGTACTATATGGCTTTCTGAGTTGTTTTAAGAACTAAGCATGGGGCTGGGGATTTAGCTCAGTGGTACCATGGCCTGCCTCGAAAGCTCAAGGTCCCGAGTTCGATCCCTGGTACCAAAAAAAAAAAAAAAAAGAACTAAGCATGATTTTGAATATCAGTGGCCCCAGAGGAACCTTTGGCACATAGAAAATGCTCGCTCAGTGTTATAGAGGGAGAGAAGAAAGAGCATGATATTGAGGTCCAGGACCATCTCAACTGTCCTGACCTTGAAATGCCAGAGGCTGAAAATAGCTTAGGGCGAAGGCCCCCTTAACAATGACTACTTAGCTCATGCCATTGGGCCAGAGGTGTGTGGGCTAGCAAAAGTATACTCTGAATAAACTGATGTGAGTTCCGAGTAGGAGCAGTTTCCCAGGAAGATTTGCCCCCCTCCCCCAGAGCCCACAAACAGTTCAGCTCTTTAGTGGCCAGAGCCCAAAGGCCTTGGGAGGCAGGTGTGAGGGGAGGGGGTGGGTTCTGTGGTCAGAGTTCCAGGCTGGTCATCGAGACTTCTATTCTCCTGGAAGCTGCCGGTTACATCACCTGGAACACATTTCTGAACCGTGCATCTCTGGGCACAAAGGGCAAGGGTGCAGACAATAGGCTGTGGTTTGGCCACTTCCGAGCTGTGCGAACCTGAGCATGCCATCGGACCTCTCAGCTGGGGTTGCTCGGTTGTTCATCTGGGAGGTGGGAGTGGTGGGGAGGACGGAACGAGGTGATGGCTAAGAGCCCCAAGTGCATCTGCAAGAGCAGGTGAAAGGAAAGGGTGGGGTAGGAGCTGCCTACACTCCTGTCACGGGGCAGACACTGGTCACCACCCTGGAGTGGGCAGGAGGAGACTCTAGGATCCTCTCCATTCCAGGCAAGGCCTTTCTTTGGGGGCTCAGGACAAATGCAGGTAGCAGCACCCACTCAGTAGTGGGGTCAGGTAAGGCTGACCAGAATGGAGGCCCATGCTAAACTTCCCAGTGACTCTTTGGTGCCACCTTAAGAGATGGGTTTGGAGCCTCAGTCCTTCTGTAATCGCCAAGCCCTACCCCCTTCTTAACAGTAGGAACAGAGGAGAATTAATTAGTAAACGTGGCTGTCAAACGCGGTCAGTGTTATTATTAACTTAGTGTGTTTGTTTAAAGGGGGGCCCTGCTTGCTCCAGTGTGCTGCGTGTGGGCGACTGGCCGGCCGGCCAGGTTTGCTGGGAAATCCTGGAGATTGCTTCCACATGGGAGTTTACAACACAAATAATTAATTGCAGTGGTGGAAGGCCTTGGGGGCCAGGGATAATGAGTTCTGACATGGCTTTTGCCTTCCTTCATATAAATGGAGAGGCGTTCCCTAAGGGGAGGAATTGGACCTGGAGAGGGTGTCCCAAGGGTTTAGGTGCCACTATCTGCAGGCAGGGTGACCAGACAGGTCCTCCCTGCTATCCCAGGGCCCTCAGCCAGGGGGGAGACCTGAGGAGTGCTGTGAACAGGCCACGCAGGCCATGTGTGTTCATGTGTTCTGCAGCACGGACATGCACAGGCCTCTCCAGGCTGATCTGCTGCAGTGCTCCGGAAGCAACCAGGTGTACCATGTTCACCTCACACACCCCACTGCACTGCTCCGCTACTCATGGCCAGGTGTGGGTAGGAGACTGGTGTGGAAGTGCTACCTTATCATGTCCACCTGATTTATCTAAGATGTGCTGGGGTGAGAGGAACTGCAGGCAGTGTCTCTGCTCTTTGGTTTTTTGAGACAGGGTCTCACTGTGTAGTTCAAGCTGCTCTTGAACTCACTATGTAGCCCAGGCTGGCCTCGAACTCTCTGAAATCCTCCTGCCTCCGCCTGCCAAGTGCTGGGATTATAGGCTTGCGCTACCACGCCAGGTCTCCTAATGCTACTTTAAAAAATTATGAGGCCTTGGCTTCACTCACTGATCTTTCCATATACTGAGTTCTCATGTGTCTTAGTCCTTCCTTCCAAGACTAAAAGGAAGGGACTCTGGAGCCACACTTAGATTTAAATATTGCTCCATCACTTGCTAGCTAGCTTTGTGAGTTTGGAAAGGTTAGTAACCTCTCTGTGCTTCAGTTTCCTCATCTGTATGATGGAGTAATACTACCTCTTGGGGTTGGTTTGGGGGATTGAGTATATTAACATTCATTTTTTTTTTTGTAATGGGATTTGAACTCAGGACCTTGCGCTTGTGAGGCAATCAACTGAACCACTGAGCTAAATCCCCGTCCCCTACATTAGCATTCATAAACCATTTACACCAATGCTTAGCCCATGGCGAGTGCTATATAAAAGCTGGTTAAACAAATGAATGAGTTACGACGGCTCTGAGCAGAGCAGGCCACTTTAAGTCACTGGTCTCTGTATCATTTCCTTTCCCCCCAGCATTTCAACACACTAAGAACAGGTGCTGTGTACCTGACACTCTTTTATGGCTCTCCTGATCTCTTGGCCGCTTGCAAGTTCCACCTACATAGAAGCTGCCCTGGCTGGAGTCTGCTATGGCTCTGTGAACCAACTTTCCTCAGGGAGGTCCCTAAATCCTGTTAGCTGCTGTGGTCTTTGTTCTTTGAAAGATGACTCCTCTGTATCAGGCAGGTGAGCCCAGCACATACCTACCCATACTGCCTCCAAAAGGGGTTATCACCCTGAACTGAGGAGTGGACTGGCCTTGTGCCTTGTGACATGTGGGATAGGAGTGTTTCAGCATGCTGCTGGGCTCCTTCCAGTTAGTGTCTGGAGGCTTCAGGGTGTGCTGGTTTTGCACGAGGTAGGCCAGGGTTGTCCCGTACCAATGAAGGACATTTTGTTGACCGTCCGATCATTCCTTGCCTACTTTATTGTGACCTGTCAGTTGTAAAGATGGAACATCATTGAAAAGAGCTAGAAGACAAGAGCCAGTATAACCCAGAAATACAGATAAGTAAATGTTAACAGACTTCTCCCTGAAACCTGAGCAGACTGTGTGCTTAAGTGTGTGTGCATGTGTGTTGTGTGTTCATCAAGCTTCTTTCTTTCTTTCTTTCTTTTTGTTTATTTGGTGGTACTGGGGATTGAACTTAGGACCACTGCAATGAGCTACATTGCCAATCTCCTCTTCCTCCTCTTCTTCCTTCTCTTCCTCCTCCTTCTGCTCCTTCTCCTCCTCCTCTTTCTTTTTTTTCTTTTTTTTGAGACAAAGTCTTCCTAAATCACTAAGTTCCCAGGCTGGGCTTGAATTTGCAATTCTCCTGCTTCAACCTCCAGGAGTGCTGGGATTATAGGTGTGTACCACCATGCATCTTTATATCCACATTTTGGATATCATAAAAATCATAAAAATTCTGGGAAACCATCCTAAAGAAATGCTGTAATGTTTGCAAAATGCTTTATGTGCAAAGATGTCCTTTACACAGGTATTTATGAAAGGAAATGGGACAACTGCAGTGTCCAGCGCTGGGGATACAGTTATGTAAAGCCAAGGTTGTGCAGATTTTATTGGTTTTCAGTCTTTTGTAGGTTCATGAGTTGCTTGAGAAACCTATTAAAATGAAGATTCCCAGCCTTCACCCCTAGAGATTCTGATTTAATAGGTCTGGGATTGAGTCCAGAAATCTACATTTTTAACATACCCTATATGCTTCCAATGCAGATGTTCTACAGTTCAACATTTGAGAAAACTGATCCACTCGATGGGATTTTGCAGTCATTTTAAATGATGTTTACAGGAAGATTATAACAGTATGGTGGAATGCTTTGTAAATAAAAAGTATGTAAAATTGTATATGACTCTGTATCCAATTATGAAATACAGCCATGTAAACCAAAGCAAAAATGTACAAAAATGTAAACAGAGGCAGTATCAGGGTGGTAGGGTTATGGTGATTTTCTTCTTCTTTTCTATATTTTCCACAATTTCTAAAAGTGAGCATAATTTTATCACAAAACCCATCAACCCATACTTTTAAAACAGAAACTGTTCTTGGAGCAAAAGGGCAGTCTATTGGTCATTCTCTTTCCTGGCATCACAACAAAAGGTTTCATTTTCTCTCTGAAAAATGGGAGGAGTCTGAAGCAAAGCTATCCTGGGGTCTTCACCTTCAGGTGGGTCCCAATCCCTCTTAGAAATGCTCTCCTACAGCTGACAGACCTTTGATGCATGTCTATAGTCCCTGAAGGTCAGTCAGCCCCGAGTCATGGTTAATATCAAAAATATTATCAGGGGTTTGGGGCACAGCTTAGTGGCAGAGTGCATGTTTAGCATGTGCAAGGCCCTGGGTTCAATCCCAGCACCAAAACACAACAAAGTATCTCAGCCTGGGATGGTAGGGCTGATCATTTCAAAGAGCAGGACAGTCTTAATGCCTCACTCTCTTTTAGAGACAAGATCTTGCTATGTAGCCCAGCCTGGCCTGGAACTTGTGGCGATCCTCCTGCCCCAGCCTCCTGAGTATTGGGATTATGGGTATGAACCACAATGGCTGGCCTAATGCTATTCTCTTGAACATTATTTATTTATTTATTTTTACCAAAAATAAACAAATTAACTTTATTAAGTTACTACTTCAGTCCGTACATTGATTTGTTTAAAAAAAATCAGTTTGGAATATATTATTGAAAGTGAGTACGCACAATAAATAGGAAAGGGGCTGTGTGGTGCGGGAGGACAGTCACCAGCTTGTCCCCGGGTGGCCTCCCAGGGGGGACAAGTGCCAAGCATGCCTGGGGATGGCTGGCCAGAGCCCCAGGAGGCCGCCATCCCCCCAAGGGAGCTCCACCCTCTGGACCACTCGGAAACCAAAGCGCGCACCTCACCGTGCATCCGAGAGCCAGCCTCACTGACCAACAGTGCCAGGGAACCTTCATTAATGAGTTTTTTCCTTTGCAGTTCTGGGGCTTGAACCCAGGTCCTTGAGGATGCTAGGCAAGTGCTCTAGCACTCAAATTTATTCAAGGGAGAGTCTCACTCTGGTGATTCTCACTTGTGATTCTCCTACGTCAGCCTTCCAAATAGCTGGGATGACAGGTGCATGCCACCATGCCCAGCTAAAGCAAAATTTTTGCTTGAAATATATGATTACTCAATTATCCCAAGCCATACGGCAGGCCCTACAGTAATAAGTTACACGTATTCTGAATTTAAATAACTTAAACATGATGTGGCTAATATATACTATGTATCTCAACAAGCCTCTCGCAGGGAAGGTGCTAATTAAAAGGTATTTTAAATTAGTGTTAATTGCTGCTCAGAATGGCGTATCTATAGTAATGGTGGCGTACCCCTTACTGCAAATGCAGAACCTTGGAATCATACTTGTTTGAACAAATACTTCTTATGTACACGTGTGTCCATGTTCTATGTGCAAGTTCTCAGTGGAGCAGGCTTATGATCACGGCTAGGCTTAACAAGTGCTCCCTGACTCTTCGAACCCCGAAAGCACTGCTCACAGGGACCTGCGCAGGCGCAGGTGCGGCCGCCCATCGCCCTACATTGGTGTACCTGGTGCAGCACCAGCTCTGGAGGGATGCTCGTCTCCGGGCGTACAGCTTGCATGTTCTCCTTTCAAAGGCAGCCACCAATCTGCTTCACCACCTCATCAAAAAACAGGGTGGCAAGCTGAGAGTGCAGAAGTGAGCAGAACTCGAACGACACCGAAAAATCCAAGATGCAAAATCTTGGGTAGCCAGGAAGGCCCGGGCTGAAACGCAAAATCGTCTCCAAATGTTTGAAGTCTCCCATCCGTTCAGGATGCCTTTACCAAATGCGGTTTCACCAAGGTTACTACTGATGTGTATCGCTCCAGCACAGGTGGAAAGCCGGTTTCGAACCGGATTTTACAATATCCGGATCTCCTTGATATTATATCTGATTTTTTGCACCAAGGAACGAAATGCTTGTAATCCTCCATTCCCGATACTACATCATACATTTCCTGCGTTGAATATCCAGTAATTCTCTCTGAATATTCTTTTCTTTTATTAATGGTGCAGTGATTTTTGAAGAAAGTTCTTGCATGTATCTCCTTAGGCAAAATTGAGGTATGTAGTGGGAGAGTTCTACTCATCAGTAAACCACAGGAAGCTAAATATCCGGAAAATCGAAGGCAGTCCCGCTTAAGGTTACAGGAGGAACTCGTCTCAGCGCAGTGAGAAGAACCAGTGTGTCAGTTTTCGTTCGAGGTGGGGCTTTCCCAGTTTCTGCGCCCCTCCTGATCCCCCCCCCCCCCCCGCCGCAGCCCGAGGCGGACACGGGTCCGAAGGAGGCCCCGGCAGCCCAGGGCGACCTCAACCGCCCCCAGGGTCCCGACGTGGGAGCCTCGGGTCTCCTCTTGGGCATTTTTTAGGTATGACAGTTTGTACAGGACAGTAAGGCCCTGTCTCAAGAAACTGGATATTGGGCCGGTATAGGGAACAGGGGAAAAAGGGGACGTTACTGGAATCTCTGCAGTTAAGCCCTAGTCTCCTGCGAGCCAAGGCAGTACACGGCGAATTATAGGAAAGGCTAAAAAAATGAGACTGAGAAGAAGCTGAGCCTTGGGTCTGATCAGTGCTGCTCTGGGCGGCAAAGACAAAAGCCCCCAGCTTACCGCACCTTTTCTTCAGTACTCAGTACATCGGGAGAAACAAATGTAACGAATGACTTGCAGAGAGTTCAGTACATCCGCATAAACAAGATGGTAACAGTCCAAGAACAATGAGGAACTGAGTAGATGTTTGTTCCTCCCAGGATGTCTCCAGCAGGTGTAATCTTGTCCTGGAGAATCACAGCATCACTGGCTCATTGAGGTCTCAGTTGTGACCGGAGGCCACAATTGAGTTATGTCTTGGAATTCCGCAGCTGGGCTGTAGGCAAGAGAACTAGGCTAACCGAATGATTTTACCCTAAAATTATGTAGCATTGCTCCCGACAGGCCGGGGATTTAGCTCAGTGGTTCCGGTGCCTGCCTCACAAGCGTGAGGACCGAGTTCTATACCCGGTAGCAAAAAACAAAACAAAACAAAAAAACCCAAACAAACTGGAAATAAGGAGAACAAAGTTGTTTTCTGAGAGATGCATGCCTTAGTTTTCCAGGGGTGCCATAACAAAAGCCAACAGTACCAGCTGCTTCAACAGCAGGAATGGATAGTACCCTGTTCTGCAAGGTGGAAATCTGAGATTGGGGTGCAGGCAGTTGGTTCCTTCTGTGTGTGGGATTTTTTTTTTTGCGGCACCAGGGATTGAATTCAGGACTTTGCGCTTGCAAAGCAGGTGCCGAGTTCCACTGAGCTAAATCCCAGGCAGTTGGTTCCTTCTGACGGCTGTGAGGGCAGGATATGTTTCAAGGCTCTCTCCCTGGCTCCTGTATGGCTGTTTCTCCTAGTGTGTTTGCATGGTCTTCCCTCTGCCTGTGTCCAGATTTCCTCCTGTACAGATACCAGTGATGCCAGATTAGGGCCACTGTAACCTCATTTTAATTTATTTACCTCTATAAGGACCCTATGTCCAAACATGGCCGTATTCAGAGATATTAGGGTTTAGGACTTCAACACATGAATGTGAGGGGGCACAAGTCAGCTTCAGAACAATGCATTTCTAAGCAACCCGCAGTGGAACTCAGAGCTGTGCAGACACTTAGTTTCCAGAGCTGAAACGAATGTCTGAAATGTCCAGCTTGACTTCTGGAATGTGTCAGGTAGCTTGAAAAGGAAAAGTCGGTGGCAAAGTGGGCTGTTCCCTAGGGGACCTGGCCAGGCAGGGAGGAGCCATTTTGACCCGCATGGCTCATTGTCCAGTCGAGGTGATAGCTATGTCCCTGTGTGTGGAGATGGATGTATCTATGAACTTACGTCTCAACAGGTCTGGTCACAGCTCACTGACTTCCCTGTCCTGAGCCTGGGGCCCAGTTCAGTGTTGCTTCTGAGCCTCCACTGGAGAAATGGGATCAGAATGCCTGTCGTGTCTGCCTTGAAGGCGGTTGTGAGGGAAGGCAGTGAAGGCTCTGGGTAACTGGCAAACCTCTTCCTGTCCCCAAAGAGCAGACAGGACAGTGAACATCCACTCTCATCTGCAGCAAGTGACCATGGTGCTGTCTCTGAAGGCTCTGGCGTCAGAGGTGCTCCCAGTATCCCGGGGGGGGGGGGGCAAGGTGACTGACTCCAGCCAGCTGTGGCATGCACGGAGCCGACCAGCCACGCACCTCGGGCTCATCCCAGAGCCTTCTGTGTGGTCCTAAGAAACAAAACAACTTCATCCAGAAATTGCCATGTTCCTTATGTGCAAGTCTACAAATTTGGTATTAAAAAATCCAAAAATAAAAGCCTCTCATTCTCTATCCCTCTACCTCTTTCTTACCACCCAGAGGCCCTCCCCAAATGAATTAAGATTTCCTGATGTTTCTAGGCATAAATAAATATGTATGTAAATATTTACCCCCCCCCATTTAGTTCACACTGTTGTAAAATACTGTGTTTCTAGTTTTAAGAATGATGATGGCTTTTTCCCATGTCAGTTCATGCATGCGGGTCTTAACCTTACTTTTGAAAACTGTTGCACTGTACTCCACAGGATGATTAACACCATACATTATTTAATTATAATATCCACTAATGGACATTTCGGTTTCTAAAAATATGATAAACATGGCTCAAGCGACCATCTTGGTTATATACACATATGTATCTTCAAGGCCTTGTGGGAATGGATCTCTGCAGGGTAAAGTTTTAGGCGTGTGGTAACCAGGACAAAAGTGACATTCATACTAGATTTTGTAAATTGTTTTTTAAAAAAGTGATATCTATTTACAT